CAGATAGTCCTGTAGAGCGGCGCTGAGCCCCGAAGACCCTATCATTAAAGAAGACCCTGTCAGAGGAGCATCATTTTTTTTTGACTTGTACGTCTTTGCCTTGTCCCTGCTTGCTCTCACAAGAAGCCCCCAACAAGGTCCAAAAAAAAGCCTTTCTTCAAGAGGGCGTCAGGTTTTTCCTGACCAAAACAAAAGATAGCTCTGCCTTGTCGTCGAGAAAGACGAGCGCCGCTTTCGAAGCCATAGCGTGCAAAAACTGATGCTTAGAGTCACAGTCAGTGGCTGCCGGAAGAGTCTGACAAGACTACAGGGAGATGACAGTCAGACTACCAGAAGCTTATGCGAAGACGACAAGAAGACGACCGCAAGAGCGGTCGTCTCGCTCAACTCCTTTCATCGCCCATGGACTCAACTTGGTTCAATTGAATGGGAGCACAAACGTCATGTTTGTGAAACAAACGTCCGCGGAGCCGAAGCCTCGCGAAGCCAAATTCTGGTCCTGCAAAGCCCCGGCGTATTTTTTAGCAGTGTATAAGCTCTGAACCTCAAAAAAACAGCGCTAAATTGAGCAGCTGGCCAGCCAGCTGAACAATAACAACGCATCATCATCATCATCATCATCACCACCATCATCATCATCAGCAGCAGCAGCAGCAGCCACACCATCGCCAGCAGCACCAGCGTTACCACCACCACCATGCCACCGCCACAGCCTGCAACAGCAAGAGCAACAACAGCAACAACAACGACAAAACCAACAGCACCACCAACAACAAGAACAGCAAGGAGAAGAAGGAGGATACCGCTTGCCGCCCTGTGAATTCATCCGTCGTTCGCACGAAGTGCTGATTCTTGAAGCTCTTGTCTTCAGGGGATGTTGAAAATATAGCTGAAGCAACACAATAGCACGCTTGCTGGGCAAGTTGGCTAAGTCACAACTTCACTAAAAGAACGCACGCATGCATGTGTATATATATATAGGTTTCTACGTATCGGAACATTGCCCTTTACACCGTGTTGTCGTGACCAAGAGAGACTTATTCTATTACACGAAATGCACACACCTGTGCTGAACCAAATACGAGCGTGTGACAACTTAAGCTGCCTTTTTGATAGACTCCTTTCCATACCGTTGTTTCCGAGTCAGCTGTGTTTCCAGAAAACCCATGCGCTGGCTTCCCCAAGCATTCAGTACGCAGATGCACCCGCACCAGCGTATCAACCACACACACACACACGCATGGGCCTGACTTGTTGCTCTGTCCTTGAGTGACATGCGTTTCACACGTTTACATCTCTGGAGATGGGGCCCGTCGCGGCATGAGCATGTAGCGCCCCGCAAGCCTTCCCCCCAGAAGCATCCCCGCTAGTGCGTTCGCATCTTGCAGGGGTGGTCATTATCCCCCCCCCCCCCCCCCCGCGCCCCCAAAACCATCCCTGCTAGCGCGTGTGCATCTTGTTGCTTGTGAACGGAAGCAACTGCCATGGCTGCGTAAGCGCTGACGAAAAGTAGTGAACCGCGTATGTGGTTGTGGAAGCCCACCACCACCACCAACAACAACAACCGCAACAACAACAACAACAACAACAACAACAACAACAACAACAACAACAACAACAACAACAACAACAACAACAACAACAGCAGCAGCAACTGCAACAGCAACAGCAACAGCAACAGCAACAGCAACAGCAACAGCAACAGCAACAGCAACAACAACAGCCACAGCCACAGCCACAACCGCAACCGCAACCGCAACCGCAACCACCACCACCACCACCACCACCACCACCACCACCACCACCACCACCACCACCACCACCACCACCACCACAACCACAACCACAACCACAACCACAACCACAACAACAGCAACAGCAGCAACAACAACAACAGCAGCAGCAGCAGCAACAGCAACAGCAACAGCAACAGCAGCAGCAACGGCAGCAGCAGCAGCAACAGCAACAGCAACAGCAACAGCAACAGCAACAGCAACAGCAACAGCAACAGCAACAGCAACAACAGCAGCAACAGCAGCAACAGCCACAGCAACAGCAGCAGCAACAACAGTAACAACAGCAACAACAGCAACAACAGCAACAACAGCAACAACAGCAACGCCAACACCAACAACACCAACACCAACAACACCGGCAGCAACAACAGCAAAACCACTTTGAGCCTTCTACATTTCAACCGAGGATGCTTTGGAATCTTTTCGATGTTGCGCTGGCGCTCGTGGCGTGGACGGACATCTTGGTACTGCAAATGCTCACCGAGGCGCGGCTGACAAATCAAGAGTTCACCTAGTAAGACTCGACTTACTTGCAGCGCGAGCTTGGCTTCGCATTCAAATCAGGGACTGGAATTTGGTGGGGACCATCACGTTCAGACACATTGAGTACACTATGTGGAAACAACTGGGGCCCAAAGCTCTTGCAGTGTTCACTTTCTTCTGGTGTATTCTGACAACTAGCGCTTAGCAGGGATTTTCTTTGGTTTTGGTTTGATACCTCATGTTATTTTGTTGCTTTAGTTTTTTTTTTTTTTTTTTTTCTCTCTTTGTGGTTGTTTTTTCATTCAGTATTTCTTTCTTTCTTATCTGCTTTCTTGCTTGCATGCTTACTAGCTTGCTTGCTCTCTTTCTCTCTCGGTCTTTCTGTCGCTCTACCTTTGCATTTGCTGCCTACAAGGTGCCCACGACTGCGCATGCTTGCCTGCATGCTTGGAATGCAATGGTTGCGATTGGATCTACTAGCTGTACCTTGCAAATCAAGTCCGAGATGGATATTGCATTGGGACCAATCATTACAATCGATCTCCTTGGCTTAGTCGCGTTTGGATCATATCCCAGGGCATTGTTTAATTATCCGACTCGTTCTCGAAGAAGCCAATTCTGGGCAATAATGTCTATGCCATTTGGTGATGGCAAGCTCAAAGATTGACATGGACTTAAGGAGTCTGTGTCTGGTAGGAACCAAATCAGACAGCTGCGTTGCAGAATGGGGCATCGCATTTCCTCTGCCTATTGTATCACGCGAGCTCGCCGATTCAGGGGGAAAAAAACCAGCTCGCCGATTCGAGAAAGGTCCTATACTTGGGGATCCGATTCTTTAATTCTCAATTCAGGTTTTTGGACATATCGTAACTTGCGCAGTTGGTTTCGACTAAAGAACCCCGATTTGAAAAATGCCCAGTCGGCCTCCCTACAAACGTTTGGAGTTATCGCAAAGTTTGCAGATTCCCTGCTTAGCAGGCTTTAGCAGACACACCCCCAGCAAGATGTGAGTCGATAGAGCGCTGCTTTGCTGAGTCAAGTCTGTAGCATGCCGCTCCAAAGAAAAAGGTCGACCTGGGTTACAATTTCTGACCTCGGATGAATCAACCCCTTTCATGAATATGGGGGTGTCTCTGGTTTAGCGGGGAATCATCGGTGACATAGCAGCTCCTTGTGCGCATTGCCCCGCAAACCTTAGACGAACCTTTTAATTAACTGCCTTTTGAGGCATCCATGTTGAAGCGAATCTCGACACCAGAGGCTTCCCCACGTTCTTATCCAAAGTTCCCGACTTTGGGGGAGCGATCGCTGCTTTTCCTCTGCGACTTTGCTTGTGTGCCATGGTTGACTGCCCATTCCACTCACTGTCCATTTGGGCTTGTGGTTGTTTACGTTCCTTGGGGTTGTGGGAAGCCACGCGGAAGCCACCCAGCACGAGGGCGCCCCCATTTCAGAGCCAATCCCGTCATGGGTCTGTCCTGCAATTGCATTCGGTTTCGGGATGGAAGGGAGCAACTCATCGGAAAGGTCGGCTTCACTGTATCAGCACGCGAATGAGACTCATCTTTTCCGTCCCGCGCGTGTTCTTTTTCCACCTCACGGGGGGCTTCATATTAAAAAAAAAGAGGAAGAGAAGAAAACACCAAATTCGGCCAGTTAAGTTCAGATACCTCCATAGGTTGTGGTTGGGAAACCAGTCTACATGTTTGCTTCTTGTTGACTCCAAGCGCTTAACGTGCGCCTGATGGCCGAGTCAACGAGGCTCGAGGGCCGTGGGACTGGATTCCGGATGGGAGACGCCTTGCTGCGAGAGAACTCGGGGGGTGCCCCCGGTGTTGGCTGAAGGGGAAACCGTTCCAGCAATTTGTGTTCCACCCCAAAATTTTATCACTTCCTGAGTTCATGGACTTTACAAACTTTTTGGGTTTGGACCATATTTTAGTGGTAGATTATAAAGTTTGGTAGCTTTTTCTGGGCCATCCACTCAGCCAGTGAGAAAAAGGAACACAAAAGCCAGTGGCCCTGCAGCGCCAGGAGTCCGAGCTCTTTTCGACCGGCTTCCTGCGGATCATCCGGCTCATTCGCCTGGTCCGCGTGATGCGGGTCTTCCGTCTGAAGGTCTTCAAGGAGTTTCGGTTTCGCTTGGGGGTCTCGGTTGCCTCCAACAAAACCTGCGTTTAGTCTCACAGGGCTCCTTAATTGAAACATGGCGCTTTTTCAACGCCAAAATTAAGGGAAACCACCATTTACACGGCAATGTTCAGGTGTAGATTTGTAAGGATCCCTGTCTCAGCTCACCCAACCACCTCCAAAAGAGGAGACTCAAGCAAGACGCACCCGTATTGCAATACAACTCTCAATGCCCTGCCACGGTCCCAGGTTCATGGCAAATTTCCATGCAGGGGCTGCAAGTGTAGCTGTTTTGAAGCATGGGTTGGTGCAACACAGCGCTTGAGATTGTGCGCCAGGGAGTGCAATGTAGGTTGTATTTATGCGGAGGGTACCCTTTTGGGCTGAATCTGGAAGTAAAGCAAGCAGAAGCCACTCTTGCTTTGAAGGGGGCCCACTTGGACCCACCCCCCATTTGGAGACATACCTATGTGAGTGCGTTTGGGGTTTCGCTACCATCACCCGGCGTTCTTGACAGGAGCTCAGGCTGATGGTGAAAGGACTGCTTGCCGGAATTTGGATGCTTGGATTGATGGATCATTCGATCCACTCGCTGTGTTTTCGACGGACATGGTCATGACTGTTCATTGACTGGTCATTGACTGGTCAAGTTATTCGGGTGACATGCGCCTGCTAGGGTTGTGGGAGGCAAAGGGGCAGGACCACCCTTGTATCACCGCAAGTGATTCAGAATGCGCTCTCGCAGCCGCGAAAATGCCTTGGCCAATTTTGAAGTTTCGTTTAGTTAGCCACGTGGTGGACGGGCGGAGCAAACTCCTAAACATCTCAGTTGTCTAGTGGCATTTGGTTTGCTTTTTCGGGACAAGGATGAACCGAAATCAATAGCATTACATAGTATGTGTCTTGTTTGTGAGCAGTTGTCAATCTTGCGGTCACCTCAATTTGACCATTGAGTATGTAATGTACAAAGCATGTTGACCCATGATTTGAGCCTTCTCACGGCAAATGACAGCCACGCAGCTAAGCAAGTTACTGTTTTTACTTCATGGTCACTGGGGAACGTGAGGTTGGTGGATTTGACTGATTTGATGCCTAGTCAACAAGCATATGCGCCGAACAAAGGGCGTGGTAGGGACTGTGATCGTTCACTTGCTTGAGAGAAACATGACCACAACCATGGGCAGCTTTGACCATACCTGGACCTTCCTGCATGCTCAAAATGTCCGCCTTTTCGCTACGAATTGCCTTTTGGGGCAACAGCGGGTAAGTTGTGCCTACGACCGTTGTTTTGCTCAATTTGGGTGTTATGCGCAATCTTCCGCGAACCTACAGGCGAAATATTCTCGACCATCAGGCGAAATTTCCCGACCAACAGGCGAAACTTCTCGACCGCGGCGCAAAAAACAATAACCGGCGATTTTTCTGCCCTGAAAGCATTTGTTTACATCAACGACGAAAACCACGTGCTTTTTGGCCAACGCCCAATTGTTTTGCCCCCCGGAAGTCATGATTGCATATATTATCTTTTGATTTCAACCACAGTGAAGTGTTTGTCCATGCCTAGTCTTGGCAGCCACACCCTCAAAACAAAAGGTGCAGTTTTGTTTCCAAGCCCTTTTGGCCAGTAGGATTTCCCACTTCTGTGTCAGCCCGCTGCGGATCCAGAGGCAAAGTCCTAGAGCATGCACTCTGCAGATGTACATATATCGAACCTTTGAACACATTTCTTTTGAGGTGTGTTTTTTTGGGGCCATCTTGAGGTTTAGTTTGAAGGGGGAGTTAGTTCTAACTTCGGATTCATCCCGAGAATGCTCTTCAGAGAAATATCTCGGAGACAAGCCCGCTGTCAACCGGGCCTTGATCAATTTTCCATGACATTGAACTGGCATCCCTGAGTCCAAGCTGCCTTGAATTGCCCCAAACCCTAGCTTCAGCCGTGATGTTTCTCACCTCAGATCAAGATAGGAGACATGTGGCTGTGGATCGAACATGCGTACCCAAAATGGAACCCTGGTAAATGGAGCCACAAACTAAAACCAGCGGTCCCCTGATGGTTTCATTTTGACCATTTTTGACCCATACCCATGTCGCGCCTTTTTTTGGGGACCAAGGACGCTATCGCTGGCCTTCGTGCTTCTCTTCAGCGTCCTGTACTTGGTATCCGGCTTCGCAACGATTGCCATAGGCGGGGCCCCGGCGCAAAAAATGTGTTTTTTTCCTTTGAAGACCGTGGTTTGGTGAGAAACCATGCCTCTGCCACTATTGGATGGTTTTCCTTTGGAGCTTGGATTCCCACTCTTGGTAAGGACTGCCAGGTTCGTCCCTGGAACCAACCCTGATTCAGACAAACACACACACACAAACACGCACAGACACACAGACACACAGCCACGCAGACACGCAGACACGCAGACACGCAGACAGGAAGACACGCAGACACACAGACACGCAGACATGCAGACACACAGCCACACAGACACACAGACACACAGACACACAGCCACGCAGACACGCAGACACGCACACACGCAGACACGCAGACACGCAGACACGCAGACACACAGCCACGCAGACACACAGACACACAGACACACAGCCACGCAGACACGCAGACACGCACACACACACACACACAGCCACGCAGACACACAGACACGCAGACACGCAGACACACAGACACGCAGACACGCAGACACGCAGACACACAGATCACACAGATCACACGCAGACACGCAGACACGCAGACACACAGCCACGCAGCCACGCAGACACACAGACACACAGACACACAGCCACGCAGACACGCAGACACGCAGACACGCAGACACGCAGACACACACACACACTCACACACACACACACACACACGAAGCCACGCAGACACACAGGCAAACAGACACGCAGACACGCAGACACACAGACACGCAGACACGCAGACACGCAGACACGCACACACGCAGACACGCACACACACGCAGCCACGCAGACACACAGACACGCAGACACGCAGACACACAGACACGCAGACACGCAGACACGCAGACACGCAGACACACAGACACGCAGACACGCAGACACGCAGACACGCAGACACGCAGACACGCAGACACGCAGACACGCAGACACACAGACACACAGACACGCAGACACGCAGACACACAGACACACAGACACGCAGACACACAGACACACAGACACACAGCCACGCAGACACACAGACACACAGAGACACAGCCACGCAGACACGCTTACACACACACACGAACCCACGCACAGACACACAGACACACCCACCCACGCACGCACGCACGCACGCACGACGCACGCACGCACGCACGCACGCGCGAACGCGCGAACAAACGCACGCACGCACGCACGCACCCACACACACACACGAACACACACACACACACACACCCACGCACACACAGACACACAGGCACACAGACACACAGACACACAGACACACAGAGACACAGAGACACAGACACACAGACACACAGACACACAGACACACAGACACACAGAGACACAGAGACACAGACACACAGACACACAGACACACAGACACACAGACACACAGACACACAGACACACAGACACACAGACACACAGACACACAGACACACAGACACACAGACACACAGACACACAGACACACAGACACACAGACACACAGACACACACACACACACTCACGCGCAAGCGCGCGAACGGTTGCACACACACACACACGAACGCAAACACACACACACACGAGCGCACACAAACACAGACACACACACACACACACACACACACACACACACACACACACACACACACACACACACACACACACACACACACACACACACACACACACACACACACACACACACACACACACACACACACACACACACACACACACGCACGCACGCACGCACGCACGCACGCACGCACGCACGCACGCACGCACGCACGCACGCACGCACGCACGCACGCACGCACGCACAGCACGCACGCACGCACGCACCGCACGCACACGCACGCACGCACGCACGCACGCACGCACGCACGCACGCACCCGCACACCCACCCACCCACCCACCCACACCACCCACGCACGCACGCACGCACGCACGCACGCACCACGCACCCACGCACCCACGCACCCACGCACCCACGCACCCACGCACCCACGCACCCACGCACCCACGCACCCACGCACCCACGCACCCACGCACCCACGCACCCACGCACCCACGCACCCACGCACCCACGCACCCACGCGCGCACGCGCGCACGCACGCACGCACGCACACACGCACACACGCACCCACGCACCCACGCGCACACGCACACGCACACACGCCCACGCACACCACGCACCCACGCACCCACGCACGCACGCACGCACCACGCACGCACGCCCGCCGCGCACGCGCGCGCGCGCGCACGCCCGCGCGCCGCACGCCCGCACCCCCACGCCCGCACGCCCGCACGCCCGCCCCCCCCGCGCCTGCGCGCCCGCGCGCCCCGCCGCGCCCCCGCGCCCCGCGCGCCCCGCGCCCCGCGCCCCCGCGCCCCCCGCGCCCCCGCGCCCCGCGCCCCCGCGCCCCCGCGCCCCGCGCGCCCCGCGCCCCCCGCGCCCCCCGCCGCCCCCGTGCCCCCCGCCGCCCAAGCCCAAGCCCAAGCCCAAGCCCAAGCCCAAGCCCAAGCCCAAGCCCAAGCCCAAGCCCAAGCCCAAGCCCAAGCCCAAGCCCAAGCCCAAGCCCGCACGCCCAAGCCCAAGCCCAAGCCCGCACGCACGCACGCCCAAGCCCGCACGCCCGCACGCCCGCACGCCCGCACACCCGCACACCCGCACACTCGCACACCCGCACGCGCGCGGTCGCACCCGCACCCGCACCCGCGCCCGCACCCGCACCGGCGCCCGCGCCCGCGCCCGCACCGCCGCACGCGCACGCGCGCACGCGCGCCGCATCCGCCCGCAGCCCCGCACCCGCCCCGCCCCGCCTGCCGCGCCTGCCCGCCTGCCCGCCCGCGCGCGCGCACGCACGCACACACACCACACACCACACACCACACACCACACACCACACCGTGTGTGCGCAGGGCGTCTAAAAAGTTGGCTGTTAGTTGGCTTCGTTTCTGAGGACTTTGGCCGCAGGTGGTCCAACTGCTAGGTCCAGTGCCCTTTTACCCTTTTTTAGGTCCAGTGCCCCTTCTTAACCCTCTTCTTGGTTGGGAGATTTGGTTCCCCTACTAAAATAGACTACAGAAAAACATCGGGCACCCTTATTCTAACCTCTCCACTGGAGGACCTAGACTGGTTCCGGTGGCTTTCTGTCCTTGCTGAGCGGTTTTTTTCCGGAGGCGTTTGGGTCCACCTCGTCAGGCAACAATGCGAGGACGACTGCTCTGGGGCTGGAGAAGCAATTCGCCTCTGTCCCGGACTCTATGTTCACCGCCTTCCGGTGCTTCACCGGAGACTGTGCTTTGGTGGGAACCCAGGACACTCTATGGAACCCCAAAGATGGGTTCCTCAAAACGAGACTTCTCTAAGAAACCCGCTATTTTTTTGCGGGGTGGGGGTGCATGTTCATTTGGGGTGTATAAGCCCTTGTTGATTGATACATGTTTTTGTTTTTCAATCCCGTGTCAGAGCACAGAGGTGTGTTTGCAATCCAAAAATGCGCGGATCCTCAGTCCTGGTGGGTGCGATTGCCACGCTGTTCATGAGGGGGGGAAAGCTGACTTGGCCGTTGGGAGTACTGCATGTGGTCTGGACAGCCCTCACCATCTGGATTCGATGCCGGAAATCGGTTGGCACGGATCGATGAAGCGCCAGAATCTCTAGCTTTCAATCACGGCACGTCATGGCACCGGGATCTTGCGGGCCTTGGAGTCGGGATTTTCAAGCGCTTGGGGAATGCTCAAGAGTCTGGGGATCGCCTCCCAGCAGGGGATGGTTCATAGGGCTTGCTTCCTCGTTTCCTATGACCCGAGAGGGCAGTCTGAGTCATAGTACTGTTGACTCCTTGATGGACTTGGGCGCTCTGGCGCTCTACCAGCATGTTTTCATGCACTTAAAAAAAACAAAACAAAAAAACAGGCACTGGCAAGCGGAATGCCAACGGAGACAACTTGAATCCAAACCTGAGGGTGGTGAAGGCAGCGCCTGCTATGGGTGCTTTGGAGTCCAAATTGTGCCACGTAAACGTGGCAACTGTCAATTTGCAGGGCGAGTCCTGTGGCTTTGCAATGAAATTGACCCCGAACATCGGAAAGGCATGTTGTTCTTTCTGTTTGGGGGTCCTTTCAACCAGCCCCAGAAAGGTTTTTTCCCTCCAGAGACACGCCCCTGTACTCTTTTGTGAGTTTCGCGCTGGGCCCATCCCGGAAAACTGAAGCCTTTCAGCCCCTTACATCAGCTTTCCTCGAATGGCTTTGGAGCCGAATCGTGAAATGGGAAGGCTTTCCCATTTACCCTCTACAAAAGCAAAAAAACAACTCCAACTCCAAACCACTTTAGCAACCTGACGGGTCCAGGCCTGAGGGTTGCCTCTGAGCATGAGGAGGCATCGAGGGCATCGGAGGAATTGTCCAATATCATCCGCCGGTTTTTCCAAGTGGTTTACGCACGAAAGGTTGGGCCGGGCCGGTGGGGAGGTGCAAAATACCAGACCTCTTCGAAAATCCGGGGTGTCCATTTGCGTACTCGTTGGAGCGGAAGCATGCGTGGCATTTGGAAGCAAACATTGCGCATTGGCCATACGCTTGGTGCTACCTGATTGACCCATATCAACGATCGACATCTTGTGCCACCTTCAAATTGGGTGGCTGGGACCCACAAAGGTTTTGCCAACTTTAGTAAATTGGAGCTTGACTCACAAGCCGTGTATGAAAGCAAGCTTGAGGACCGCATGCTGCTCCATGAAAAATATTCGGACCCCCTACCCCCGGAGGTTGGGAAGCCCGAAGATGGTCTCTTCCCAACCGCTCCCGGGGTGGCCTGAAGTCTCCTTTGCTTCCTCTTTCGGCAAATTTTGGTCGACATCTGTTGCAACCCTGGCAGCCCCTTTTTCCGGGCGCCTCGTTTTCGGCCTCAGGGTCTCAGGCGGCCGGGTTTGGAATCCGATCTGTCGTCTTTGTTTGTGTCCGGCTCAGGTAACTCTGACTCGGGCCAGCCAATCGCCTCCCTGCTTGCGGCGGAGTATGGCATTCCCTTTATCTTGTGCTTCGTGGTTAGCCCCCGGACAGAAGGATGGAGAAGGCTATGGTTTTTAGAAGATTTGTTTTTGTTTTTTTGTAAATATCTTCAAGTTGGATTGCTATGCCCTTTCGGGATGTTCTTTCAATTCCCAAATTGGAGAGGACTCCCTCCATTGACGTTAAAAGGTACAAGCCTGGTCTAAGTCATACAAAAGTACCGTATTGGAAAACCCAAAGGCTTCTTGGTACCTTAAAAGCTACTTTGACTCACTTTAAAGTCTCAAACACCATCAAAGACTGCTTTGGACCGTTTGGGCTAGGTGTAAGGCTGTAAGTCGCAATTCGATTTGGATTTGTTTTAAGAATTCCCTCTTAGAGGCTTCCTCCAATCGTTTGCCTCCTTTTTCAGGGCAAACACAACCCTGGTTGGATGCCCCTGGAAAGATTACAGCATGTGCAAACCAAAAAACACGCGCCCCGACCCCACCATCCCCACCCTTCTTCTTCTTCTTCTTCGGTCCTTTTCGGCCTCTTGTGTCCAAGGATAGGCTCCGCCTTTTTGGCGGCTCCCTGAGAAGCCACTACTTGGGGTCAGGAGAGATCCATCATAATATCATACCTAGAACATCCGATGTGTAAAATGTCTGCCGTTTGATGAAAAAGCACAAATTTCCGTCGTTCATTTCAATTCCGACGTTTCGATTCAAAAGTGCTTTTTGGAGCCTTTCTTCCTTCCAAAGTTTTCCTGGAGCGGGCAGCGTATTCAATGACCGGCAAAATCCGCTTTTTGACCGGCAAAATCCGCTTTTTTCACGAAAATTATGAGTGCAGAAGTTGCAGAATTATCGAAGATTCAGGAAAAACACTTGCAAATTTGAAAAGCGCTCGCAGGGGTGAAAAAGCAGATATTTCTGAAAAAACAATATATTTTACACACAATGGAGGTCCTAGGTATAGTTTAGTATTGGCCCACAAATTGGCCGAATTACTCTGTCACATCGGCAAATTCGGATGTAGGAACACAACTTCCATATTTGGCGCATGTTTATGATGTGGAATGTGGGGAAAGGGATACACCAGCGAATGAAGCCATGGAAAGAAATGCGCAACGGACTGACCCTGCCACAACCCGACTGGATCCAGCCGCATTCTTCTGACGGGACGAGCTCGGGAGTCGAGAGAAGCTGGTAATGTTGATCCCGGATTAATCAACCCCTGGTTGATTAATAGGGAGGTGTCCCCTTTTAGTGGGGATTCAGACCACTTTTGGAGGGGAACACTCCCATATGAATAAACACATGGTTGTTGTTGGGAAGCATTTTACATTTTGCTTATTGCGGTGTAGTGTGACATCCAACCAATTAACTGCTAAATTTCATATATATATATATATATATATTTGGCTCCCCAAACCCAACGTGAACCAAGAGCAGGGGTTCTGCTACTAGGCTACATGCTGGTGGCCATGGGCATTTTTAACGTGATCTTGGCGGTTTACGTAGACATCACCATGAAGGCTCGCGCGCGGGCGGGCGAGGGTGTGAACGCCTTCGCGTTTTCGCCACGGTGTTTTGGGCGCTTGGAAAATTGTGGGGCCATTTGATATGTTATTTTATTTTTTTCAGTCACTGGCGATCCAGGGCGTGCCCATAGCGACCCGCAATTTCAAAACCGATTGGATGTCCAAGGTGTTTCCGTCCAACCAACCAAACGCGCACTGATCGCATCGATTGAGGGCCCGTCAGGGTGAGGTGGTTGATGTATGTTTTCAAAGAAGAGAGCACCCAGTTTGGGGGTTCCCCCATTTGGAGACAAAATCACATGTGTGATTGGATGGGAATACTTGGCACACCTACCCCACAAGAACAATGTGTTGTGAGGGCTGGTTTCGCCTGTTACTGTTAAGGGGGTCCAATACAATTATTCCTACTAGTATGTTGTTTGCATTTCATGAGGGAGCTACCCTGATCAGCAGGTATTCTTCTCACAGAAAAAATAAAATAAAAAAGAGAGAGAGGTTGCCAAACACAAAACTGTGGGGCTCGGAATCTCCAATTCTGGTCCTTTGTGTATAGCTATGTAAACCTTGTAGCCAAGGTACAGCTAAAGATCAATGAGTGAACTGGTTCAAACGTCAATGGGTGAACTGTGTCTTGGAATCTAGGCTTCGCAGGCTTCGACAGCTGGTCATGCAACGAAGATGCTGTGTAGAAAGGGTGTTATGTTGGATTTGCAATTTTCATTGGTTTTTCATGAAGCATGGCGTGCATTGGATCAAGGCTAGGTTTTGGGATGGGCATGAGTGAGACACTTCGAATGGACTTCAACCTGTCCAATCAGGATTATCTGATTCAAGATTCAACTGTACGAGTCAAATCGAGCTTACGGGCTGCTGGTAATTCAATGGACTTTCTTCGGTCATGGCCCGGAAAGGACTCACCCAGAATTCCAGTCCAGCGTGACCCCGTGTATTTGGTTTGCATCGAGTTCCCCATGAATCATCATGTCATAACTCCGTGGTTCCCAGCCGTCCGGTTCCTTAGCTTTTTCGCCAACTCGTGTTTTGTGGTCGGGTTTCCGAATTTAAGCCACCAAAAGTTCGCGGGGATCAGACAACGGGCAGCCGAGAGAAATCCGCCAAAGTTTGCTCAGGCCGCGAAGGAGACGGAGACCCTCACTGCAGAGCAGCATGCGAGGGAGTCGATCCGGATTGCTCGCACCACGCGGGAGCTGCTGAAGAAGTTTGCGTCCTTCCACAAGATTATGAAGGACCTCGGAAAAGTATGGGAAACATGGGAAAGATGGGCAACAAGCTTTTGATGAAACTAAAGGAACACCAGGATGATGATGAAGGACACCACGATTCTAGGTCCCCCAGCTAGGTGCCCCTTCTCTCCCAACTTTTTTGGTTGGGAGAGTCAGTTCCCCTACTAAAATAGACTACAGAAAAAGTTGGTACCCTTATTCTAACCTCTCTACTGGAGGACCTAGAAGATGCTGCCTTTGCACTTTCCGAAAACTGGGAGATCATCTCATGGTTCAGCGCGGTGTCCTGAAGACTTCTTTGTGGACACCAATAAACTCAGATCTGGGCATGCTGCAGGAAACCAGCCAAAAACCAGTGGAAACAGCTGGTTTTGGAAAAGAATGATGGCTGAACAGAATGGGGAGTCACCCCCTACTATAGACCATGGTAGTACGCCCCAGAGCCATCTTACATTTCCAGCATCACCCTTCAGAATAGGGGCAGAGCGGAGGCACCAGTGTCCGGGTTGGGACCCCAACAGCATCCATGCTCCCCTGTAATTAAAATGGAGTCGAGGGGAGTTCATGCCGGGGTTCTAGCAACTCTGGGAAAACAGCCTCGACACATCCTAGCGTGGAGAACTCTTCATCTGTATTTGGGCACGGCTCCAATCCCGAAGACTTCCTGCCCATGCGTTTAGGTTCCATTATGTGACAAATTCAAAGGCCTGTTTGAGATCTTGATGTCGAAACACACGTTTTTTTGACTCCCCGCAAGACGTGCAAGGACACATGCAGAGGGCTTTTGCTACTGCTGACCTGGGTCAATCAACGCGTCGGATTTTGGGGATGTGCTTCTCAAAAGTGATCCAGGTGCACTGGCGCATACCCAGACAAAAATATCACTTGGGCAGTGTTTGAGCCTTAATGTACCTCAACAGCATTTTTTACCTGCCTTGATGTTTGAGCATTGGGGGGGGGGGGGGTTTTCAGGCTCCATCAATCACTTTCAGTTTGACCCTGCAAAGGTCCAGAAATCTACTAAGCCACATGTTATGCAAGAGGTGCTAACACTTGGTGCCGAGTACTCCTGTTGTTCTTACTTCTAACTAGCAATGACTAACAGTCCTCTAATTAATGCAAATAATTGCTAATCCGTGTTCGCTGAGCAAATTCGATCATTACTGAGCGTTTTTCTTCACATACACGGCGCTTTCGCTTATGCATGCATACAGCAGCTTGTGCCATTCCGGTGTTTGTGTGCCGGTGGCCACAAACACAGCAGAGAAACAGGAGTGACATTGCCATAAAGCTATAGCGGTTTCAAGTTTGGGGGGGGTTGTGGTTGGATGCCCAAGCCGAATTAATTATGAAGGTTCCAAAGTGGATGATATCAGTCAAATGCGAATTGCATTTCACTCAGATTGAAGGTGGTTCGCGATTTGAGCAGTTGGCGTTTTCAGGTGGCCCCGTAGGTGATCAGCTGATAGACGACCAGTGCGCTGGGGCAAATAGGTACCGGTGCATTTCTGTCAGCGCCATTCCGAGACACGGCTCGTGATTCATGTGCGGTTTAAATATTGAGGCTTTTGGGGTCACTCAAGTTGCCCTGGAATGCTTCTGATTCGCCTGTGACTCGCTGTGATTCGAGAGAGTTCATTGGAGAGTTGCATGCGACTACCTCCGCTTGAACTTGGGCTAGGTTAGCCACACCGGTCATCCACTATGGGCCGTGGCTAGTCTTTTGCACATTTCCCAGGAGGATGGAGGAGAGTTGGATGAGATCCTGAAAATGGACAGCCGGCCTTCCGTGCATTTTACTGATGAGGAGAGCGAAAGGTTTGTCGATCCTTGGGAACTCCGCAAGCCTTTGTGCGGCTGTGCCCCTAGCTAATGCATGGTCTCCAGGATTGTCTTGCAGCCTTTGGACATCTTGGTGGATACATCTTGGATAGATAAGCCAGAAAACTGCCAGACGGGCTTGTGCTACTAGGAAGCCATCGGATTGTCGTCCCAGCAGTGCAATCTTCGATCATGAAACTCATCCCCCCTCTGTAAACCTCCCCGCCCCCCCACTTGGAGGCCCAAAAACCACTACTAAACCACTACTAAGGCCGACGCTCGCTTTGCCGAGGGCACTCTTAAAGAGGGGTGGAGGTTTAGGGGGTCGAGAATGAGGTTCATGATTCGAAGATCGTTCATACCAAAAGAGAGGGGTAAATCACATGAACTCATGACAAAAAGCGCTTGGGCCCAGGACGTACCAAAAAAGGAGTGCCCTTTCTTCCCGTGGCCGCGGGGGTTCACGGGCCTCTCCGCGGCAGAAGGGCCCAGGAGCTTCTTAGCCCCATGGAACCTGACCCCCCGCGAGAGAACGGGGGGGGGGGGTGTTTGGACCATCCGGTAGGGGCCATGTCCTGTCTCTGTTTCCATCAGTTCGCAGATGGCTCGGACGGGAACTGATCAGAAACCGCACCTCCAAACAGAGAGTGAAACGGGGATGCAGGACATTTACGAGAACCTGGCCATCAGCAAGGAGTGCTTCCTCATGGTCATTCAAGACCGGCGCATTCATCAGCAGTGCGATGTTCTTTTTTTGCTGTTCTTTTCTTTTTGATCAGCGGTGCGATTTTTTTTTTTTTTTTTCGGTGCCATCGCTGGGATACACGCAAAGGCCAACAAAAAGGGAATGGCTTCCACGCATGTAGCGGGGTCCGATGCTATTCTCACACACAGACACACACGCACTAGGTTGTGCCACGGAAAACGACAAAACTAGTAGAAGTGGCCCAGCTGCCAGAGAACAGCAGGGATGGGTGAGTCTGAAAAGTTTTTGGAGTACCTTAGTTGCCCATAGGTCGATATTCGGACCTTTAGGTGCTTTCTTTCTCATGGGTCCATGCCAAGCTGGTGGCCTTGGGACGGATTGGCGCCAACCCAATCCATCAATCGGGAGTATGACAAAGGTTAGCCTCGTTTTCCACGTGCTTCAGGGCAAGTGATTGAAAAGCCAAGAGGAGACGGATGGCGACTGTTGCAACATGGATGCGCAACAAAGAAGGGACTTTGCCTTCCCTCTTGAGGAGTCTCGGATCCGGGGATAGCAAACCATCTGAGTGGCACGACCGTCAACAGGTTGTGGGCGCTGCGAATATGCATCAAGTGGTAGCACAAATGGTTCACTTGGTCGGAGGAACCTTGTCACCAATCTTGCAATACCATAGCCAAAAGACGGGACAATCCTTTGTTGGAATGTCCTACGGAAAATATGTTTTCGGTGCTGAATGGAACAACAGGCGGCCAACATTGAAAGGGCGAGTCGGATTCCGGTTTGAGCATGGCTTCCCATGACCTGTGTGCGTGCGCCCGCAGCGGGATTCAGATCCCTTCAACTGGCCTTGAAGGTGTGCCCCATTGATCGGGCTTTCCTCATCCTATCAAACAATCAGAGAATCTGTTGTCCGAGCAGATGGGTTGTTTTTGATTGGGTTCCCCTCAAACAGTCAAAAGGCTCAAGACTTGAATTTCTCGGCAACCGAGGACGGTCCAACACCTGATGGATGACCTGGACTTACCCCCCGACCGAGCGAATCTGCCGCCCGGCCATGAGAGAAGCCCAAAGGATCCACCTGCAAGTGTCTTGTTTTCATGGGTGTTTCATTGGATTTGCCCCTGCTCGCGGATGTTTTTCGTTTCCGCTCTGCAATCTGCAATTTTCAGGATTGATCAACATAAGGCGAAGGTGTTCTGCCGCCGGGCTTAAGTTCATAGTGGCTTTTTACGTTTTGTAAAGACTCACGTAGGTGAACAGTGGAGATTCGACCTGTGTGAATCATATCCTCCAACCATGCCTTTCCGGTGGATGCAGGACTGCCCTGCGAAGAAGTTCAGGGGCTCAATTTCTTGGCGGCCTTTTCGCTTATCACCCCTTTTTTTGGTGTTTGAACGGAACCTTTTTCCCCAACAGCTGAAAGCTTTGGGGTCTCAGCCCAGATAGGCTCCGGGGTGGTCCGGGGCGGCCCTGAAGTAAGGTTCCACGAGGGTTCCACCAGGGTTCCACCAGGGGGTTCCATCAGGGTTCCATCAGGGTTCCACCAGGTTCTGCGAGAGCTACGGGGTGGTCCGGGGTGGTTTGAGGTAAGGTTGTACGAGGGTTCCACCAGGGTTCCACCAGGGTTGCACCAGGGTTGCACCAGGGTTCCAAAAATTCTGCAAGGGCTGCTGGGTGGTCCGGGGTGGTTTGAGGAAGGCTCCACAAGGGTTCCACCAGGGCTGCGAAAGGTTCCACAAGGGTTCTAGCAGGGTTCCACCAGTGTTCCACCAGGGTTCCATGAGGGCTTGCGGGCTGGAACTCAGCGTGAAACTTTTCCTGAGGGCTACCCCATAGCTTTTGCAGAACCTGGTGGAAACCTTGTGGAGCGGTTTTTGGAACCTTACCCCATAGCCCTCGCAGCCTCGTGGAATTCTTGGAACCCAAAGCCCACCAAGTAATACTCAGCAATGGTAAGCATTTACTCTGCTGCACAGTGAGTCCCGCAGCAACGTCATCTGATTTGCCACAAAGCCAACATTTCGGGCCGCGTTGCCTGAGCAAGTGAGCAAGTGACAAAACAGTGCAAGTGTGATGAAAACCGTTGGTTTCGGTTTTGTTTAGTTTTCCTCAATTTACTGCTCCACGGAACCTTGCAGAACATTTCTGGAACCTTTGTGGAGCCTTGTGGAACCCTTGTGGAATGCTTGCGGAACTCTGCGAAGCCCTGTGAAACCTCAGGGCCGCCATCCCACAGCCCTCGCAGAATTTTGTGGAACCCTGAAACTCAACTCTCATGGAAGCCCGATTGTCGGGGCCCGAAGGCCCAATCAGCCCCAATTGCGCCATCACTCCCCGATCCGGCCCCAACTCAGTCGGGCCCTGTCAACTGTACCAAGCTTGGCATCGCCTAGTTTTGCTAGATACAGCTGCAAGGCCGCATCCAACGGAAAACCGGCGTTGAGCAATAATATGGGTGGCTGGGCCCAGATCGGGCCCTGATAGCACCGTCGGACCCCAATCAAGCCCCGATTGCACCGTCGGGCCCCGACCGGGCCTTGATTGCCCCGATCAGGGGCCGATTGCGCTGTCACTCTTAGCTTTGCTTTTCAAAGTTACAAGGCGGCTGGATTCTGGGAGGGTGTGGTGCTGTTGGGGATATCGCCCGAGCATTTTTTTGTGGTTTAAGGGTCCCAGGCAGCCACGCATAGCAAGGTGAGCTGGCGTAGTGGCCTTACACCCAGAAATCATTTGTTCCAGGCTTGGCGTGCGCTGTTGTCTTTCGCCAAGCAATTCAGGGGTTGAATGTCTTGGATCTTTAGCGGGCGCTTCCCTGATGGTCAATGCTTTTTGAGAGCTTTTGCAGCTGTTAGGAGCCCTGCCCCACTAGGGCACTTCCCTTCTGGAGCCATTTTGGGAACCCTCCACTGAACGAAATTGAGCCCCTGGATTTCTTAGGCCGGCGCTTCCCTTTTGGAGCCTTGTTGAAAGGCTCCCCGCTAAGACAGGATTTCTGAGCGGGCGCTCCCCTGATGGTCAAACATGCTGTCTTCATCACACAACTTTGAATTGGACGAACAATCCAGGGGGGCTCAATGTCTTAGCAGCAAATGCAGATGCAACCTCCTAGATTTTGCAATCTCAAGCCCCGGAGTTCTTTTTCAATGTGTTTTTTCTGCAGTGTTTGCGCTGTACTACTACGGGCAGCACTTGGTTTGCCCGGAGGCACATTTTTCTCTGGGGGACCCACACGCGCAGACTCCCTTGCGCCTGCTAGCGGTTCAGGACACGCGCCTCAGAACGATCCGCCTATGTTCCAAGACATCGCAAGACCACATGCGACGCGCGAGCGCTGCGCAGGCTGCGGCTTTCGCAGGGGTTGCTACTTGCGTTTTTTGCGGCTGGCTGGCCTGTCGCTAGCCTGAGGATTTCTGTGAGTTGGTGAGAAACGAAGGTCTCCGCGCATCTCCGTTGCACGATCGGCGGGGGCAAGGTAAAAGTTGAGTCTAGACCCCAACTGAGGGTTTGGTGCAAGTTAAGCCCTGAGGCTGAAGGGCAGTTAAGCCCAAAACCTAAACCCTAAATTTGAAGGCATGTTAAGTCCCAACCTAAGGTTGGCTGAGGGTTGAGGCAAGTGAAGCCCTAAACCTAACCCTAAACTGAGGGTTTGAGGGCAAAACCTACCTTGTAGCCCTACACCAAAGTGCCTAAGGCGGCTCTGGGCGAACCACACGTTCTGCGGTACTACTACTACTACTACTACTACTACTACTACTACTACTACTACTACTACTACTACTACTACTACTACTACTACTACTACTACTACTACTACTACTACTACTACTACTACTACTACTACTAGTACTATACGACTACTTCTGCTACTACGTACTACTACTACTGCTTCTGCCTCTGCGACGTCTTCCGCTACTGCAACTACTACTAACACGATGTGACTGGGCCTAGGATCGTCTACGGCAGCCTACGACCACGACTGCTGCTGCTACTTCTTCTACTACTACCACCACTACTGCTACTACTGCTGCTGCCGCTGCTGCTGCTACTACCACTAGCTGCTGTTGCTGCGACTGCTACTGCTACGACTCGGCTCATTCCGCCGACGTCTGCTGCGGTCGCGGGAACGAGTGGTGACATGTTCCTCTGAGGGTGCACACGCAAATTTGGGGCAAGGAATCGCCGCAGGCGCAAGTATGTTCGCGCAACCAGTTTGATTTGGATGATATAGACGCGCGTTGGGTTTTGGTGTGTGGTGTAAGATTGTATTTGATCACTGATGCATGTTTCGTGGCTCTGGTGGGCTGATATATGTTTGACTTGAAGCTTGCGTAGCCAGTAGAGCTAGGCCAGTGTGCTGCCAGCGTACATGGAGAGTGTGGGCGAAAGTGTTCGGCACGATGGTACGCCTCACAAGTTCCCAACTGCTGATTCGAGGTTTGAAATCATCGATGCGGACGGAAGTGGAACACTTCATATTACCGAGCTAGTGCACGGGCTTCTGAAGATTCGGGGCGATGTGAAGCGTCCTGGCTGATTTGCACTGCCAGACGTACTCCTCTCAGCAGTTTTAAAGTTTTCACATGATCTTCAACGGTTGACCAGAACAACATGGTACTAATAGATTTCCTTTCTGCTCCGTTGCCACTTGTGGTTCCTTGTTTGTCAAGAGAGCGGTTGATGAATTTGGGGGGGCTCACATTTGGTGTGTGTGTGTGTGTTGTATCATGTTTCTTGATGATTTTTCTCTTCGTACTAGCATGAACAGGAGGCCCCTCAACACAGGAGCCACTTGATGAACATTTGCACACAAGTTGCAGATTGCTTCCCTTGCCGACCTTACCCCTACTTCGTTTGGCTTGGTGTAGAAGGGCGAAAAAGCTGGTTGTGTAATCCGCAAGGCATGCAGCGATTCCTGCAAAAAGTCGACCTCAATGCTTTAGGCCGAAGTGTCCAAGGGCTAGCCTTCTTTGGGCACAGCAAGCGTCTGTTCGAATTTGTGTGAGAGACAAGCCACAAGTGTCAGTGTCATTTGCCACAATAGCGGCTCAAAAGAAAAGCACGTGAATACAATAGCTATACAGATGGTACAGTTGGGTGCCCACTGAGTACGGCAGCGAGAATATGCCACATCTGAAACTGTCCATTGCAGACTGTTGCTCCCTAACTCATTCTTCACATCAATATCCACGTTCAAGTTCAGAACCTGGGTACGGTACACGGGTGACGACAAATGCGATCTGCTGACGATTGGTACTGTTGCTTTAAAACCTATTCCGTATCGCTATATTATGCCTATTCCGTATCGCCATGTTTCCAGGTGTCAATCGGAAGAGAATCAGCCCCGCTAAGAACCTTCCTTCGGAGTTTGCGGAAGCCTATTGCCTTCTAGCGATTCATGTGGTGCCTCACTATCCCTGCTAAACTAGTGAGGACCTCAAAAGCAATATTGTGCTTGACCTATTTATGTATATATAATATATATATATATATATGCTACCCCCCCCGGGTGCCTAGGTTTTGCTTGATTTCAGCGCTGTAGAGTTTTTATATATATATATATATATATACGCAGATTGAACATGATGGGGAAGGTGACACCAGGAGGGGGAAGAAATGATCAAGCAGATTGAAATGGAGGCATTGCAACTTGCATCCAAATTGACGTGGGACTAAAGTGAACACATTAATTGGACTAGCGTTGCCCTTGGCTTACATGTGACCAAGGGATTGGCCAAATCCTAAGGCTTATGTCCACCAATCGAAGCGACGTTCATAGATGGCTTTGGCTGGGCTCCAATGGATCAACAAATGCCTAGTACCAAAGGATGGCCACCAAGTTGTGGTTGGTTTTGTGTTCTTCTTTTTCGTGGACACAAGCCACCTTCTTGTGTGCGCATTGGTGTGTAGTTGCAAAAAGGCAGGTTCAGGTTATTGACCAAGCTTACATTTTCCTGGAATTGTGAGCCATTGAAGGCTGCGCAAGTGGAGGGTGGCAGGCATTAACATTGACAAAGGCGGGTCTGTATTCGCAGAATGCCCAACTGGCCGGCTTTCAGGGACGGCTTACACGAGCAGATGGCCAGATGTACCGAACGAGCAACCGCTTCCCTTCAACCCCGGCAGCACCGGTTGCCATTGTGGTGGATGAAGGGAAACGACACGAGACTGCTTTTGCGGCCGTACTTCGGGCTTTGCACATGGGAAAAATCAGTCCAGAGCCAGTGCAAAGTGGGTCCAGGAAGAGCGACACTGTGGCCTCTCTGCTCGCCACCAAAGCGGTGCAGCAGATGGTTCAGGACGGAAGCCTTGTTGAGCTTGGCGAAGTACGGAAGCATCTAACTGGGGACTCCGATGTGTTTAGGTTGGCGAAATATTGAACATAATATGAAAACATGTGTTTTGCAGTCTGAAGGTTTTGAGTGAAAGGGAACTCAGAATGCTGCCAAGACTCTTGCGGCATGGTTTTAACAAGGGGTTCGCCGCGGCTCGGGGACGGGGAAAGATCGTGTCTCTAGTCCCAAAGATTTCATTTAAAAACATCTCAGAACCTTTGGGGAACCAAGAAACACGGGGGTCTCATTTTGTGACAACCCTTGCGCTCTGCAAAAAATAAAGAAAAGAACAGCCTTACTAGTGGCATTGGCCTTTGGGTTGATGTTTTGACCCTCGTGAAGGTAAGGGGCCCCATACACACATTGGAACGGGGCGGGGGGGAAGGCCCTGTGTCGGCAACTGTAGGTGTGCAAATGTGAATGAACCTTGCTTGGGAAGGTTGCCGATCGGTTAGATAGTTGGATGGTTTGCTTCCGGCCTTGCAATGGGTATGCTGGCGACAATCCGTGACTGACATGACACGGTTTGACAACTGGGCACCGACAATTAGGGTCACGCAAGATAGGTATTCTTTCCAGCCCGGCTGCTGTGGTGCCTTTGTTTGGTGCTTCTTAAGGGCTTCTTGGCTGCCAAAGGAAGACAACCTCTTTCCCGCGCGCGGAAATCCACAAGGAGCTTCGAGCATTGAACATTCGTGGACTAGTTGATTGATTGGCAGCAGCACTGGAAAATGGTTGTTGCCTTCATCTCGTTCTTTTTGTTTGGTCTTCCGGAGATGACCAGCTTTCAACCAGGGGACGCACGTCCCCGTTGGTCCCCATGTAGCCCAAAGAGCCCCACAGCCCAAAGAGCCCCACTTCGTCCTGAGGTGGTTGAAAACAAAGTTGCCAGTTTGGCTGGGCCTTCTTTTACTCTCCTGTTTCTTTTAAATAAGTTAAACTCATGCTTCCCCATAAGTTTCTCACACACACACACGTCCTTGTTTTGCCAAAGAGTCCGAGCACTTCATGCCCACAAAAGGCATGCTAACAGCTCATACCAGACTCCACTTGAGCCACAATCAACACCTGGGTAGATGAAGATTAGTAGGGGACAATCCCCACCGTGAATGGGTGCGGATATCCGCCTTCTTAGTTCTTGACATGGTTCTGGGATTACGACCATTTTGATGCCGATGGGTTTGGAGTGCTCACAACTTTACCACTGACCCGTTGATAAACCCGTATAAACCCGTCTCGAAAACCCGCATAATGTCTACCCGCAAAAATGCAGCCTAACTTTATTTATGTATTTATTTATTTTTTTGGGGGGTATGAAATCCTGCACCACCTCAAAATCCCTGGAATGATGATTCCCCTGTAAACACCAACAAACAATGGGTTCTCATGATTTCAAACTGGTGCGAAATGGATTTTGTCCATCCACAGTATCTCGCTTTTTAAATCCTGTACCCCCAGTGACCATCCCAATCCACACGAAATGCGTGCACCGAAAACCCCCAAAATGGGATCCCATTGGTTTTGACCACCACAGCCATATCGCGCTTTTTGCTGTCCTCATACCCCGATTCTTAGGAGATGCGGCAAGAGAGCAAGGCCGAGCTTGAGGCCCTGCACAAGGACGTGGTGGCGGAGCTGAAAGCGCACCTGAGGTGGCGGGGCCCTGCACGCAGTGCCCAGGTGTAGCCCGGAGAATAATTTGAAGACCTGCTGAAACAGCCTCTTATTCGAGGCGCTGATTCCTTGTCCATTCTTTTCAACCATTCCTTTGAAAAACCAGCTGTTTCCCCTGGAGTTGTGATGGTTTTCTGAAAAGAAGCATCCCTGGAAAGAATGGGGAAGTGTCCCTAGACTTATGGTGATCTGGTTGGACCTTTGGACCTTTGGACTTGTTGCCTGAAGCTCTTGGATGATTTTCCGAATTGGACCCAAAGCAAGTTCTAAAAAGAAGTTGTTTGCCGAGTAGCGACCAAGTTTTGGTCCCTGGAGGCCGAGGGTTTGAACTGCAAGCCCTCGAGTCTAAGCCATGAGGCCCAGGTTTGGCGCAGCTGAGAGAATTTGAGTGCTGAAGATGACTTCCGAAGAGCCTTTTTCAGGGCTGGGGTAGACTTAGGATACATTTTACGAGTTTTACCCGTGACTCAAAGTGAAGCAAACACTAAAATATACATTCTATAACGGAAACCAACTAGCAGGGCTACAGGGGGAACCAGGTTGATACGGGAGGATTCCCCCGTTTGATGCACCTTGACGAAGTTTGAGATGGGAAATGGCGCCAAGGGAATCCCCCCATATCCCCGCTCCCTCCATATCCCCGCTTGTTTGTTTGTCCAACTTTTGGGGAATGTGGCTCCATAGACAGCCCTTTTGGGGATGCCTGTTTGGTTGGACACTAGAGGGAAGCCAAATAGAAACTTTGGTTGGGAGGGTGCCGACTGACATTGCTGACAGGCCATTTACCAATATGTCGTTCAACTTTAGCCAGCGTTTGCACGGCTGTAGACCAGATGTTTGTTGCTATCTTTGTTCTTTTGCCCATGAAGCTGGCGAATAGACGTATTGCGAGGGGTGGCGGGGAGTTGGTTGGCTGTTGGCCGGATGTCAGAAATTGCCGGGTTGTTAAAGATCAATCCTCAGTCCAGATACAGTCTGCACCGTGAAGGTTGTACCCCTTAGAGAGTCCCCGGCCAGGGCAAGCATACGACTGTTCGTGTGGAGGCTGCACCAACGTGTCAGAGTATTCTCAGCTTTGGGCCCCATGAAATGCTTTTGGCGGCCATCGTTCTGCCCATCGGGCCAATTGGCCCGTGGACGCAGAAGCAGTTGGAAGACTAGAGGCTAGTTTGTCGCTGCGGCTGTTGGCCCAACGTCGCTTTGGGCGGATGTTTGTTGATTGCTGTGAGCCGGTTCTGGGCCATAGCGCTGCAAAACCGCCCCAGCTGCTTCCATGCCGGGTTTTGAATTTTAAGCTGGAGCCTGCTGAAATGGTTCACCATTTCAGTGCCCACGGCTTTCACCGAGTGTTGCGTGTCCCTTGGGCAGTTCCAGTCCCAGAGATTTGGCTAATTTCCGCAACCTCAAGTGGCCCAGTCCTGTCCAGTGGCACATCTTCTTTCGTTGGGCATTGTCCTTGGTCCAAAGGGGTCCCTTTGCAGTTTCCCCGCAGGCCGTGGCACTGGGCAGGTCGTTTTTACATGGGCAACCAGGTTTCACCTCACTTGCCGTCGTTTCTGTGTGTATTTGGTTGGCAAAAGCGAGGCAATCCAAATGCTGCCGCGATCGGATTTTGGTTTTTTTCAAGCACGAGTCACCTTCGGTGAAGAGTCCACCTCCGAGCCTAAGGCTCGGAGTGGGATCGAAATGGACTGAGGATGGCTGGGATGTGAGGCAAAAAGAAGCCATTTACTCCACGCCCCAACATGTCCCCAGTTGCCCAGTTGCCCAGTTCTGTCCTTCAACTTTTGTGCGACAGGTCCCCCTTTGATTTCAACCAACCCAAAAAAGGATGCCCTTTTTTTTGCCATATAAATCCACTAGGTATCTGAGAGTGACCTTCAGAGCGTGTCACTTTGATTCCGTCGCTAAGCTGTGCCAGGGCGAAGCACGAATCAGCAATTCTGGGGCGAAATCCGAGCTGGGTATGGGTCAAAATTAAACCGTCAGGGGCCCGCAGGTTTTCGTCTTTGTTTCCATTTTCCAGGGGTCCATTTTGGGTACCCCACACCCAGCTGGGAAGACGAGCTGGATGAATGTTTCTTTGGGATTCCTAGTTTCCAGCTGGAATAGCTTTGGTCGTTGGCCCAGATCAACTAGGTCCCCCAGCTAGGTGCCCCTTCTTAACCCTCTTCTTGGTTGGGAGATTCGGTTCCCCTACTAAAATAGACTACAGAAAAAAGTTGGTACCCTTTTTCTAACTTCTCTACTGGAGGACCCCATAAACTAGGACTTTCAGACTTTCGGATTTTATTTTGAAGGATATCAGGGATTGCCGGTTTCAGCCCAGGATTTTGTCGCGGGTTTTGCAGTTCCGAGGACTGAACGAGGTTTGCGTCCCAAAGCTGCCACACTCCATCAGCATCAAAACTACCGCCCCCATCGCACAACATGTCCAGGACAAAAAGGCGCGGAATGGAGGGATCTGGCGGCGGAAACGGAAGGATCCAAATCCCTTCTAAACCCGTCTGAGGTACCAAAAGACCCCTTTGAACTTTTCACTTTTATCGCATTGAGGGGTAGAAAATGATCCTCAAGGTTAGTCAAGTGGCGGTTTCGGGGGCAAAAGTCAGCGTTGGTCTTGTTCTACCAGGAAATCCCCTTCGAAATGGAATTGGAGGAGGAGGGGTGACTGGAAGTGTTTGCGGTCCCATTTTGCCTGTGGAACTGAGGACCCCCCCAATCAATCCCACTCTCCCCTTTGGAAATGGATCACAATTTGGACTGTAGAACCATGACGCATGGAGTACTCTTGCATAAGACAACGTTTGTTGCATTCATGGTAGTCATGTAGTTCTGCAAGATTTGTGGATCTGTGTCAAAATCGGGGACCCCTACAATGGGTGTTTTCCTCCCGGGCGCGAGAGTGAGTAGGCATAGTAGGCCATCAAAGCAAGCCTCGCAGAGGACTTTTGAAACCTAACGGTCCAACAGAAGCCCTATGACCGTATCCACCAAATGGGATATCCAAAGATTTGGACATGACCTATGCAACGAGCTGCCTCAAAGGAGTTGACCTGAGTGACCTAGACATGTGGCTTCCCTTGAAAAAGGCCGGCTAAGGAGCTATATGGGTGTGGCTCTCAAAATTAAACGATCGGAGGGGCAAACCGCAGGTTTTGGGTTGGTCCCTAAATCATGCAAACCCCCTAGGTCCCCCAGTAGTGCCCTTTTACCTTTTTTTTGGAGGGTTGGCATCCTTATTCTAACCTCTCTACTGGAGGACCTAGTCCCACTGGCAGCGTTTGTAAAAAATATTTTCTCGCGGCTGCAGCTCGACCTCGACCGCGCTTGAGCAACCAATCACATCGCATCAAACAAGCCATGCAGTGAGCAGGGCTCCTTAAAGGATACATTTTGCAACCAATTGAAACATGTTGGTTTTTCAACACCAAAATAAAGGGAAACCACCATTTACAAGGCAATGTTCAGGTGTATAATGTAAGGATCCCTGAGTGAGGATTACTTCAATACATGCAAAGAAGCAGCATGAAGTGCTGCATAGACTAGAGATGTGGTCCGTAGACTATTGTGGTCGTCGACTAAACTGGTGGCTACCAGCATCACCCCCAACCACAGTGCTTAAGATGGCACTTGAGTGGTCGTCGGTGCCCAGAAGCTCCACTAAACTGGCCGCCACCAGGATTGCAAAAGAAACACGCAGAAGAAGCAAAGGACTGGCCTCAGCAGACTGCAGCACGGCACACACACACACAGCAAGAAGCATGGGTGGACAAGCACAGCTTTTTCAGGAGGATGCCGGAGCCCATCTCATGTCGACCCTAAAAGCCCTGCGCAGCAGCATCAGGGTTTGGTCCAGAAACACGTGCAGGAGTATATGGGGGTTGATCAAAAGGTCCTTGCAAAGAGTTATGTATTCGGTGACCATTCGTTTTGGCTTAAATCCCTCCGCGAAAGATCGGCGATGGAGTTCGCGAAAGAAACTTATTTTTTCGCGAAAGATTCCGCGTTGAATTCTTGGAGGCCTGCCTGTGCACTTACATGTTTGCAGACCCCGCTCCCTTGTAGAGAGGGAGATACGCAGCACCTACACTTGCATTATTGACTGCCTTTGTTGGGATTGGTGCAAATCAATAACGTTGGCTGGGCTATTTTGGAGCAAGTTTCGCGAAAGATCCGCGAAAGACCGGCGAAAGGCCAGGGAGCTTGTTGCAAGGTTCCGCACATCGCCGGCAACCGCAAGTGGCAAGGGCGAATGACGGTGACTGCCTGCACTTGACACTACGTACTGCACGCAAGTGAACTGCGGCTACCGTGTTTGCAAGCACAACTGCAGCAGCCACAGTGGCTCCAGAGCGCACGCTGCAAACAAAAGGGCGTGGCGATGGAGTCGCGAAAGATTCGCGAAAGAATTGTTTTTGTTGCGAAGATGGCGTTTTCCGGAAACAGGAATATTGATCAACTGCCATATGCAAGAACGTCCAAAGACACAAGTGAATCATACATGTATGTATGATATGTATAATATATACAGAAGAATGCAACATCCAGGAATCCCCAGTGTCCACCAAACTGATAAACATGGGCCGTCCCCAAACGATTGCCAACCTCCCATCAAACTCAAAGCAAATAGCCGAGCAAACAAGAAAACAGACAGACAGACAGACAGATGAACAGAGACAGACAGACAGACAGACAGACAGACAGACAGACAGACAGACAGACAGACAGACAGACAGACAGACAGACAGACAGAGACAGAGACAGACAGACAGACAGACAGACAGATTGAGACAGACAGAGACAGACAGAGACACACAGAGACAGACAGAGACAGACAGAGACAGACAGAGACAGACAGAGACAGACAGAGACAGACAGCGACAGACAAACAGACAAACAGACAAACAACCAAACAACCAAACAACGAAGCAACTCAACAAACCAACACAAACCAACACAAACCAACACAAACCAACACAAACCAACAAGCAACTAAGCCGACAATAAGCAAACACACTCAAACCAACAGACAAACAGACAGAGATAGACAGACAGAGAGACAGACAGACAAACAGACAAGGCAGGA